GCCCCTATGAAAACGAGGTCGAGGAATTTTTAAAAATTCTTGTGCTCCCCTTCCGGCTCACAAGCGCTGCACCTTGCCTCTGTCGCACGTGCTTGGAGCAGTTCTGAGAGCTGAGCGTGGGAGAAGGCTGGAGGAGGAGAGACACGTGCTTACCTCTGTGTGCAGGACTGAGCCGCAGGCCTGGAGGGGGCTGGGCCTTTGACCCCAGCTCCAGGGATGGCTGTGCCTGGTCTGGAAGTGGGGATGGGAGCAGCGCCAAACAGCCTAAGTGTTGACAGGCACAGGAGAGGCAGAGGTCAGCACCTGCCAGAAGGTCATGGGTCGGGCGAACAGCTTTCCCTCCAAAGGGTCCTCTCTGCAGGTGGACGCTCCTCCCTGGGTGCATGGAGACACACGGCCTGCAAGCCGGGTGCCCCTGGGTGAGCCCCTACACCTCATTTGTTCTGCTTTGGTTCCCCGTTCCTAGCCAGCCTCGACTGGAACCAAACCAGAGCGTGGTGCCGCGTGCATGTCAGGACCCAGTGGTCCCACCCAGGGGAGCTGGGCAACAGTTCCTCCCACTGTGGAATCTAGAAATGTCCAAAAATGAAATACAGGGGTGGGCATGAGGGCACAGCGGGTTAAGCCAGCATCTGTGACGCCTGTGTCCCAGATGGGGGTGCTGGCTCCAAGTCCTGGCTACTCTGCTTCCAGTCCAGCTCCCTGCTAATGCACCTGGGAAAGCAAGAGAAGATGACTGAAGTACTTGGGCCCCTGCACCCACGTGGGAGATCCGGATGGAGCTCCTGGCTCCTGGCTTCAGCCTGGCACATCCCCAGCTGTTGCAGCCATCTGGGAAGCGAACCAGCCAGCAGATAGAGGATCTCTCTCTCTCCTCCTTGTCTCGCCCGCTCTCTGTCTCTCTACCTTTCAGATACAGCAGTAATCTCTTTTTAAAACTATAGCGCTGGACTTTGCAAACACATGCATGAAGCTTGTTCCTGCCCCAGCCAGCATTTGTCTCCACAACCTTATCAGCAAGCAGTAGTTACACAGAGGATCTGCATATTTGAGATTACCTTGAAATGCCAACTGTCTAGAGAACACTATTTTAAGAAAAGAAGAGGGAACATCTTTGTTTTTCCAATTAAAGCCAAGCAAGGGGGGGGGGGGGGCTGGTGCTGTGGCGTAGCAGGTAAAGCCTCTGCCTGCAGCACTGGCATCCCATACGGGCACTGGTTCTAGTCCCAGATGCTCTACTTCTGATCCAGCTCTCTACTGTGGCCTGGGAAAGCAGTGGAAGATGGCCGAGGTCCTTGGGCCCCTGCACTCACATGGGAGACCTGGAAGAAGCTCCTGGCTCTGGATCAGCGCAGCTCCAATCATTGTGGCCAGTTGGGGAGTGAACCAGCAAATGGAAGATATCTCTCTCTCTCTCTCTCTTTGCCTCTACCTTGTAACTCTGCCTTCCAAATAAATAAATAAAAGGCAGGCAGGCAGGCAGGCAGGCAGGCAGGCAGGAAAAAGAAAAGAAAAGAAAAGAAAAGAAAAGAAAAGAAAAGAAAAGGAAAGGAAAGGAAAGGAAAGGAAAGGAAAGGAAAGGAAAGGAAAGGGAAAAGAAAAGAAAAGAAAAGAAAAGAAAAGAAAAGAAAAGAAAAGAAAAGAAAAGAAAAGAAAAGAAAAGAAAAGAAAAGAAAAGAAAAGAAAAGAAAAGAAAAGAAAAGAAAAGAAAAGAAATGCAAGGTGCAAAAGCATGAGGCCAGAGCAGAGAGCTGGATCGGAAGTGGAGCAGCCAGGACTTGAACCGGCGCCCATATGGGATGCCAGCACTGCAGACCTGGTTCACTAGAAGCAGGTGCCCAGGGCTCATAAACCCCACATTGACCTCCGTGCTTTAGAGCATCAGGTAAACACGGATAATGCCGAAACACTGAACTCAAGGGGGAAGAGGCTGAGGTCCCAGCTGGGACAGGCACTGGCTCTGCTGCCCAGAGGGCCGGGTGAGGCTCTCTCTCCATCAGCTTCTGGGCTGGCGACTTTGGATCCCAGCTACACCCCCTTCTCTCAAACCTCGGAACTCCTCACCTGCACAGCAGGACAATACTGGAATCCATCTCACAGCGCGGCCGCGAGGTTGAAATGAATGAAACGTAGAACAGAGCACAGGGACCGTAGCTGACAGGCGCCGCATGTTATGTGCTTTGCCACAGAGCGACACTGATAGCAAATCACTGTCATGGTATGTCCTGGTGAAACGGTCGCACGCCAGGGTGTGGGGAGTGAGAGGAAAAGGCCACTGCTCCTAACTCCAAGGACACCGCGCTGTCGTACGTGCAAGGGGACTCCACAACACTCATGGAAATATGGGAGTAAAAGAGAAGTGAATTTAGGTGCACCGAAGTTTTGAAACGCATGCATAGCTTTCTTTGTACTACGTATTTTTCATGAATTTTTTAAAAAGTGTATTTATTTATTTGAAGGGCAGAGTTAGTGAGAGAGCGAGATCTCCCATCCTCTAGTTCACTCCCTAAATGGCCACTAACAGCCAGGACTGAGCCAGGCCGAAACCAGGAGCCAGGGGCTTCTTCCAGGTCTCCATGGGTTCAGGAGCCCAAGGACTTGGGCCATCTTCTACTGCTTTCCCAGGCCACAGCAGAGAGCTGCATCGGAAGTGGAGCAGCCGGGACTCGAACCGGCGCCCATATTAGATGCCAGCACTGCAGGCCAGGGCTTTAACCTGCTGAGCCACAGCGCCGGCCCCTTTTCATGAACTTTTTAAAGACACCCTCCACCCAATATGCATGGATTTCAAAAACTTTTTACAACAAAGTAATTTTAATGTTTGGGTTTTTTTTTTTTTAAGCTAATTATTGATTTACTTGAGAGGCAGCGAGACAGCGTATCTGCTGGTTCACTCCCCAAACGCCCTCAACAGCTGAAGTGAACTCATCCCAGGTCTCCCACGTGGGTGGCAGGGACGCAGCTGCCTGAGTGCTCACCCCTGTCTTCCAGGGTCTGCATCAGCTGGGGGCTGGAGTCAGAAGCCAGAGACAGGAGCTCCACTGGGGATCATGGGCAGCCTAGCTGGCACCTCCCTGCTAGGCTGGCCATTCGCTCCTCTGTGAACTGTTTTAAGCATCCTCCTATGGTGCAGCCAAGTGGACCAAGGAGCACACAGAAACCTTGTGAGAAGGGCACCTTCGCAACACAGCTCAGCTTTCGCCGCCACTGCGAATGAACGACAGGCAGGGGTGCCCCATCTCAGAGTGGGAGCCATCGCTTAGCTTCAGCGGGACCCCCACGTTCCCAGGAGCTTCACAGGGATGCCACACACCTCTAGAAGCCTGTCTCTGAAGGACTAGGAAAGGGGCCAGCGATGGGCACCGGTTCGAGTCCCAGCTGCTCCACTTCCGATCCAGCTCTCTGCTAATGCACCTGGGAAAGCAGTGGAAGATGGCCCAGGTGCTTGGGCCCCTGCACCCGCGTGGAAGACATGGATGAAGCTCCTGGCTCCTGGCTTCAGATCGGTGCAGCTCCGGCCATTGCGGCTATCTGGGGAATGAATGAGCAGATGGAAGACCTCTCTCCCTCTCTCTCTCTCTCCCTCTCTCTCTCTCTCCATGTCTCTCTCTGTCTCTCTCTTACTCTCTCTGTAACTCTGCCTTTCAAATAAATAAAACTTTTTAAAAATGCTAAATGACTAGGAAGGACCGTAGGAACACTGCAGGGTGCAGGAGGGCTACCCCTGGCGGGGGGAGGTGAGCAGAGTGATGTGAATTTCATTCAGCAAATAGATAAAGCTGAGTCTGGCCCCCAACATGAGCCTCACCTGCGAACCCGTTCGCAAGGCCCACTCAGAGCCCCCTGCCTGCGCCCAGAGCCTCAGAATCTCAGCGAGCAGGCCCCGCACCTGTGTTTTACCAAGCCCTGCAGGGAATGCTGATGCCCCCTTCAGGTTGTTTTTTTTGTTTGTTTGTTTTTTGTTTTTTTGTTTGTTTGTTTGTTTGTTTTTTTGACAGGCAGAGTGGACAGTGAGAGAGAGAGACAGAGAGAAAGGTCTTCCTTTGCCGTTGGTTCACCCTCCAATGGCCGCCATGGCCGGCACGCTGCAGCCGGCGCACCGCGCTGATCCGATGGCAGGAGCCAGGTACTTCTCCTGGTCTCCCATGGGGTGCAGGGCCCAAGCACTTGGGCCATCCTCCACTGCACTCCCGGGCCACGGCAGAGAGCTGGCCTGGAAGAGGGGCAACCAGGACAGAATCTGGTGCCCCGACCGGGACTAGAACCCGGTGTGCCGGCGCCACAAGGCGGAGGATTAGCCTAGTGAGCCGCGGCGCCGACCACCCCTTCAGGTTTGAACACTGCTCTGGAGCGATCTGAACTCTCAAGGCTTAAACCCATCCCTCCCAGGAGACATACCCGGAGGGGGGGGGGGGGACAGGGTCAGTTATCTCTGCAATCCCACACGGCTCCCGGGATAATCCTAACCTCACCCCCCACAAAGTGCCAAGCTGGGTTCCAACCCAGAAGACCACCTGCTGTATCCGCTGCATCTGTGAGTCTGCTGTGCCCGGCCCAAGGCAGGCATCGGAACGGTGGGCGATGTGCAGGTAAGTGAGCAGCCCTTCCCATGAGCGGGTGCCACGCACAAGCACCTGACTGGCGCCCCCCCCCACCCCGGTCCCTAATAGGGTGACCGCATCTCCCCAGCCAGAAAGGGCAAGGACTCTCTGTCGGCCGCTGACTCCAAGCAGCCGCCGCAGGTCCCACAACTGCCGGGACAGGAGCCCTCTGACCACCTCCTCTTCTCCCTGCCCGCCAGCGATCTGTCCACAGGTGTACCCACGCTTGGGGGAGCCAGGTCAGGGTTCCCAGCCCTTGGCCAAAGGCATTGCTCCTCCTGCTGGAGCACAAGCTGCCAAGTACCTTGCCCTGGGTACCTGGGCTTGGGGGTCCCCCTCCCCGCCCCGTCAGCCGCCTCCCGCCCCCCTCGGACGCCCCACACCTGGGCACTTCCGTACCTGTAGTAAGATAGCAAGCCATTGCCCAGCACGAACCAGCGGCGCTGGTAGCCCTTCAGGTAGTTGGTCCACTTGAGAAGCCAGCCCTTGAAGCTGTCCAGAGTCAGGGAGCCCATGGGGGTGCTGGCGCTCGGGCCAGTCGCTGTCGCCGGAACCCCGAGCGGTGCCTTGGCCTGTCCGGGTCGCAGGAGCGGCAGCGGCTTTATGGCCGGCACCAGCCCCGACTCGGTCTTGGGCCCCGGCGCGCCCCCCACGGCCGGGGCCAGCTGCTCCGAGGAAGCCCTGGAGGGGGTCGCGGGCGCCGCCCCGCACGGGCTGGACTCCGACCTCGGCCGCACCTTCAGCGACAGCTCCAATCCCTGCCCGGTCGCCGGCCCTGGCTCCGACATCCTCTCGGATCGCTCAGACATCTTGAGAGCGCGCTCAGAAACCGGCTCCCACGCCTGCTCCGCCAGCGACGCCGGCTCCGGTACCCGCACCGGCTGGGGCTGGGGCTCCAGCTCGGAGCCGGGGGTGGGCGCGCTCATGCCCGGCGCCGCCGTGTGGCAGGACAGGCAGGGGACAACGGTGAGGAGCGACGAGAGCCCGCGGGAGCGGCCGCCGCAGCCCCCGCTTCGGCTCGGAGCGGCCGCTTTCCCCATAGAGCCCGGCGACCCGAGCGCGGCCGAGCCGGCCGTGGGGGTGGGGCGGGCCGGGGGCGCCGTCGCGTGCGCGCGGCCTGCCCCGCGCCCGCCGGCTGTTGTCCTGCGGGCGAGTCGGGGATCCGATCTGGACCCCCGGGCCGGGCCCTGGGAGCGCGCCCTGGGAAGCACCTGTGCACCTGTGCACCTGCGCTGGGCGGGCGGGGCAAGCGGCGGGGAGGGCGCGTCGCGGGCTGCCACCCCTGCCCGCGTCCCAGCCCGTGCCAGGCGCTGGGGGAAAACAATACTGAACGCCCAGCCCGCCGGCTGCCAGCGCCGCTCTTCCCAGCGCCGACGCCTCCCCGCTCCCAACCCCACCCCGCGGCTGGCTGCAGCCCGGGAGAAGGAGGCGGCAGCAGGTGCGGCGCTCAGAACCCACTAAATGCACCTGAAGCACCTGGGGCCGGCCAGGGGGCGCTAAAAGACAAGGTTGTTTTGTTTTTGTTTTTTAGTAAGCCAAGCGTTTTAGCCACAAGGAACACAAGTAAGAGGTTCTCGCGACTCCCTTGATGCTTGCAGCATCCAGGGACACTTTTTTCTAGAGACAGCGTGCTTGGTTCCCCAAAGGGATCTGACACCAGCGTCACTGATGTTAAAGAAACTCTCCGAAGGGGGAGCTTCGGGGGTCGTTCCAAATGACCAGTTTGGGAGGTCACGTCCGGGCTGCTCCTGCCCTGACCCCTCCCTCTCCCTTCTGTGCAGGCTCCTCTCCCCGCACACTCACCTGCCCCAGCCGCCCGTTACCAGCAGCCCAGCCTTGGCTTGTGACAGCACGACCTGTGCAGAACCGCCTCCTCCACGGGCGGTGGACGGGCCAGTCCCAGAAGGCAAGCGTGCGGACACGGACACACCTGCTGAGCGGGGGTCCCTGCCGTCTCTGTGGGGGCTCTGGGACCCCTGCTTGGAGCCTTGTCCCAGAATGGTGGTCTTACACACCACTGCTGGGAGCCCATAGCACTGATATCTGCACATATTGGTCTGTCCTGTGAGTACGACAGGGGGCCTCCAACATTGGGGTGCAGAGGTACCCCCAAGGAAAGGTGACTGCCTCTGGGGAGCAGGGAAATGGGGTAAAGTGCTTGCTGTTCACTGTACCTTTCTTATGATTAGTTGTTTGAAAGGCAGAGTTGCAGAGAGAGACCTTCTGTCTGCTGGTTCACTCCCCACAGGCCTGCAGCCAGGCGCCTGGCACTCCTTCTGGGTCTCCCACGTGGGTGCAGGGGCCCAAGCACTAGGGCCATCTTCCACTGCCCTTCCCAGGCACACTGGCAGGGAGCTGGATTGGAAGAGGAGCAGCCAGGACTTGAACCAGCACTCATATGGGGGTGTTGGCGCTGCAGATGGCAGCTCAACCCACTATGCCACAGCCCAGGTCCATGGACCATGTCTTGATGGACGGTGGTGTGGGGGAGGGACATCTTGGATTCCAGGAGCCAGACCCACTAAGGAAATCCCAGCTGAGCAACCCTGACTGTGGGACAGTCAACAGCCATCTCACTGAGCTGCTGCTTGCTCCTCTGCAGAGGAAGATGCTAATACCTCATTCCCAATTTGTAACAAAGGCACCTGAAGCACTCTGTGAAATGCTGGGGGGTGGGGAGAGGCCGGCACTGTGGTGTCTCGGGTAAAGCCGCTGCCAGCAGTGCCAGCATCCCATATGGGCACTGGTTTGAGTCCTGGCTGCTCCACTTCCAACCCAGCTCTCTGCTATGGCCTGGGATAGCAGTAGAAGATGACCCAAGGCCTTGGGCCCCTGCACCTGCATGGGAGACCCAGAAGAAGCTCCTGGTTCTTGGCTTCAGATTGGTGCAGCTCTGACCATTGGGGCCAATTAGGGAGTGAACCAGCGAGTGGAAGACCTCTCTCTCCTTCTTCTCCCTCTCCCTCTCTGCCTCTGACTCTCTGTAACTCTGCCTTTCAAGTAAATAATAATAATAATAATAATAATAAAGAAATATTGGGGGAAATGTGTTAAACCGAGGCCAGAGCTGAGAGCGATGAGACCAAGGTGGACAAGCCGGGGAAGCAGAGCAACGGGAGAAGTCTGGGCGTGCTGTGTTCCCATCAGCCCTCCAGGAGAGGAGCCGGTTAGTAAACAAATACCTGCAAGACGTGGCCCCGCCCCCTGAGACGTCAGGGCCTTACGTCATTAGTTCTGCCAGGGCAGGTGAAAAGGACGCACGGAAGGCGCCAGGTTTTCGCCCAGAGGACAGGGCGTGGCCAGACGCGCGAGGTCTCGTGGGCTGTGAGCGTCCTCGGAACCACGCTGGGCTCGCTTGTGAAGCTTCTTACGCGCGATTGCCGGTCAGCAGGTGCCACAGAAGACAGTGCCGGAGCCAGCAGGATCCGGAAGCCGCCATGACCTTACACAAACCATGCGTCCACAGGTGCACCTGCCTCAGCCGGAGTCCCTGTAGCCACGGAGGCCGTGTCAGAACGTTGGGTGCCAGCCTCCGGTCTTTCCTGTTAACTTCTCCCTGCCTCACCTCTGGAGCTTGCTCGCGGTTTCTATGGCATGCATATTCCCACTGCAGTTCTCTGCTATTTCCAAATATTCCTTGGAGACTCTCTCTGATTTTTTTTTTTAGGTTGACAAAAGCAAAGAAGCAAAGACACCAGTGTGCACAAAGCCCCACATCAGGAGAGAACAGTTTGTCTTGGAAATGATAAGTAGCTCAGCAAAGCTGAGGTAAAGGGCCCGGCAGGTGTTTTGGTTAAGGTGCCACCTGGGCCACTGGCACCCCTGTTAAAGTGCCTGGGCCCCAGTCCCGGCTGTGGGCTCAGGCTCAGGTCAGCTTCCTGCTAACGCACACCCTGGGAGTAGCCAGTGATGGCTCAGGTACTGAAGTCCATGCCACCCACGTAAGAGACCGAGATTAAGTTCTGGGCTCTTGGCTTTGGCCTGGCCCAGCCCTGGCTGTTACATTCAGGGAGTGAACCAGCAGGTTGAAAATCTCTCTCTCTCTCAGGTTATTTTTAAAAACGATAATGATTGCAATGGGCTCACAAATCAACTACATAAAAATCCAAAAGTTAAAGCCTCAACTTCCTAAAGTTACAAAAGACAAAACAAAAATACACATCGTTTTCGGTCTCCTTGAAGGTTAGTAGGACACCATTCAGAAAATAATAAAGGGGAAGAATTTAGCCTGTATCCTGCCTCTCCTGTGCTACCTGAATCTCATAGCAACCAAAGAGTTTATGAGGGGAAACTCTTTAGAGAAGAAAGCTAATACATGCAGAAGAAATGACAGAGTCGGAACAAAGCACCACCCTTCCGGGACTCCCAGTGAGAAAGTGGACCAAGGTCAAGATCATCACCAGCTGCTAAGTTGGTGAGGTTGATGGAGAACTTTGGGAAAGAACAGGTGACATCAGCCGAACGTGCTGATCAATCTTGGCCTCACCAGAAACACAAGGACAGGCGACGCCGTGTGCCTCCTGCTGCGGCCCGGTAGGAAACACACAGCACAGCCCACATCCCAGACAAGCTGCGGCTGAGGCTAACCAGGCTTCCAGCTCAGTCATTATAAAAGAAGTGCAGGCAACAGGAGCACAGATTAAACGACATGAGGAGTGGAAGGAAATGTGATGGCCAAAGGGCCAGTGTGAGGAGCAGGCATTTGGCATAGTGGTAAAGATGCCATTTGGGGGGCAGCGTTGTAGCACAGTGGGTAAAGCCACCATCTGCATCGCCTGCATCCCAGTGGGCACCAGTTCGTGTCCTGGCTGCTCCACTTCCAATCCAGCTCCCTGCTAATGGCCTGGGAAAAGCAGAGGAGGATGGATCAAGTGTTGGGGCCCCTGCCACCAACGTGGGAGACTGGATAAAACTCTTGACTCCTGGCTTTGGTCTGGCCCAGCCCTGGGTGTTGTGGACATTTGAGTGAACCGGTGGGTGGATGGATGGAAAGCAAAGCTCACCCTGAAAGCACACTGCTGTATACGCCCGGGGTTTTCTGGCATCGCTCAGAGCAGCAGCTATTTTTGAAGCGCTGTGTGTGCAGAGCTCTGTGCCCCATCTCAGGATCTGAGAGAGGCAGCCAAGGGCAGGGACCGCCCCCAGCTCCCCCACCCACGAGGTGCAGATGCCAGGGCTGCAGGTGGAAAGAGGCTCCCTGGGGGGCCGGGGGCAGAAGGGCTCAGTCCAATGCGTGCCCTTGCTCTGTCCCCTCAGCGCCACCCCCTCCCCGCATCCTGGCCCTGCAGACTCTCAGGGTCAACAGCAGGACCCAGATCTGAAATGCAATAGCAGACAATACCTCCTGACTCTACGAGGGCATGGGCGGGGATGTGGGTCTCCTCGGCAGCACACACAGGCAGGCAGCCTGCTGAGCGCCTAAGCGCAACTGTCTGCTGACCCCTTGTGGTCACTATGGGATCTGCCTGGGTTCCACCACCTGGGCCTTGGGCACTCCCCTGGGACACTCTGGCCTGGTGACCTCATTTCTCAAAGCAGTTTCTCACCTTGTACCTTGTGAGGGCCTCTTGAAATCCTGGAGGATGAGGGGAGCTGGGGTTCCCATTCCCACTTTCCAAACGAGCTGGAGCATCCTGGGATCCCGTCCCACATCCACCCCCAGGGGCAAACCAATTTCCAGGTTCAAGGTAAAACAGGGCAGGGCCATCTGCTCCAGACAGCTGCTCCCCAGACTGTCAGCGGAGGGGGGTGACTCATCCGGCATCAGAGCGGCTCAGGGCCCAGGCACTCGCATCCCCGGGTCACCCCACTTGCCCATGCCGGCAGGAAAAGCCAGAGGTGTCCCAGCAAACAGGAAAACCGGTTCCTCCACCTTTGCCTCCAATTGCTGCTGAAGAGCCCACAGGGAGGAGCGGGCAGACGCACCGCACGAGAACTTGGAGATGGCTCTCAGCGCCAGCGGGCAGAGCTGGCTGTCTCCCCCTCCTCCCTGCCGAGCTGTCCCTCTGAGTCCAGCCGTCCTGTGCTTTCACAGGCCGCTGTGATGCCACTGAGCTGGGATTCTGAAGTCACTGCCCCTCCTGACAGACAGGGGCGAGGCCTACGGAGAGGGGCGTGGTCCTCTTAACACTTCCTCCCTGCCCTCTTTTTTTTTTTTAGATTGAGATTGATTGGTTGATTGATTGACTTCAAACTAAGAAAGAGGGGCTGGTGTTGTGGTGCAGTAGGTTAATCGTCCGCCTGCGGCACCAGTTCTAGTCCTGGCTGCTCTTCTTCCAATCCAGCTCTCTGCTATGGCCTGGGAAAGCAGTAGAAGATGGCCCAAGTCCTTGGGCCCCTGCACCTGCGTGGGCGACCCAGAAGAAGCTCCTGGCTCCTGGCTTCAGATCAGCACAGCTCCAGCAGTTGCGGCCAATTGGGGAGTGAACGAGCGGATAGAAGATCTTTCTGATTCTTCCTCTCACTGTCTGTAATTCTACCTTTCAAATAAATAAGAATTTTAAAGAGAGAGAGAGAAAGAGACAGAGAGGGACAGAGAGATCTTCTGTCTGCTGGTTCACTTGTCAAATGGCTAAAACAGTAAAGATTAGGCCATGCTAAAGCCAGGAACCTAGAACTCCATCTGGGTCTCTCACAGCATCTCTCTCCCCCTCCCCTTCAACTCTGCCTTTCAAATAAATAAGTCGGGGGGGGGGTGCTTTGACCACGGGACTAGAAGATAATCTTCAGAGGAAGCCAGGGTTGCATTTGACCTGGGCAGGAGTCTTATTCTCTGAGCCCCCGTTTCTGCTCCCTAAAATGACCTATTTTATGGTTGGGATGATTCAATGAAATCACGCTGGCAAAGAACAGAGCCTTGTGCCTGGCTCGTGGGTGCTCAGTGCATGTTAATACGCTGACGGCTGTGATTGCTGCACGGGCCTCCAGGTGAGAAGCTGTGCCTGTGTGTGTCCGTCAGACATAATCTCTGAGCCTCTCCTTAGCTTCAAGGTTCTGTTCCCCTGGGTTGGGCGTTATGGTGCAGCAGGTTAAGCCGCTGCTTGGGACCCCAGCATCCCACATCAGAGCACCCCATCTACTCCTCTTCTGACCCAGCTCCCTGCTAATGCGCCTGGGAAAGCAGCAGCAGATGGCCCAGGTGCCTGGGCGCCTGCACCCACGTGGGAGACCTGGATGGGGCTCCTGGCTCTTGGCTTCAGCCTGGTCCAGCCATAGCTGTTATGGCCATTTGGGGAGTGAACCAATGGGTGGAAAATCTGTCTACTTATCTCCCTGTCTTTCTGTCACCTTTTTTTTTTTTTTTTTTTGACAGACAGAGTTAGAGAGAGACAGAGAAAGGTCTTCCTTCTGTTGGTTCACCCCCCAAATGGTCACTGCAGCCGGCATGCTGTGCCGATCTGAAGCCAGGAGCCAGGAGCTTCCTCCTGGTCTCCCATGCGGGTGCAGGGCCCAAGCACTTGGGCCATCCTCCACTGTACCCCCCGGGCCACAGCAGAGAGCTGGACTGGAAGAGGAGCAACCAGGACAGAATCCAGGGTGCTGGCACCGCAGGTGAAGGATTAGCCTAGTGAGCCAGCCCTTTTTTATTTTTTTTAAGATTTACTTATTTTTTTTTTAAAGTCAGAGTTACAGAGAGGCAGAGAGAGAGAGAGGTCTTCCATCTGCTGGTTCACTCCTCAGATGGCCACAGGGCCAAAGCTGGGCCGCTCTGAAGCCAGGAGCCAGGAGCTTCTGGGTCTCCCACGTGTGAGCAGGGATCCAAACACTTGAGCCATCTTCCACTGCTTTCCCAGGTGTGTTAGCAGAGAGCTGCATGAGGTCACAACTAGGAGGCAGAAAGTTCCAGAAATGGTTTAGAGAAAGAGGCTGGGCTGCTGTGCAGGCCCCAGGTGATTTCGGGACCCTGGAAGATCATCCGTCCTCTAGGTACCCAGAGAAAAAAAATGTTTTGTTGTTGAAATAAAATATACTGAGCCTAAGAAACAAAACAAAATGCTGCTGTCATTTTTTTATTTGTAAAGATAGCTTTTATAGTAACACATATTTAAAATCAAATTATTCTAATGAGTTGTGCTCAGCCAAGGAAACAGACAAGAACCTAGGAAAAGAAAGGCTGTTTTTGACTCCTGCTAAAAAGTAGCAGAAGCCCCAGGCGCCAAAGAGGATCACGAAGAAGAGGAAATACAAGCTGGAGCATCCGCCACCTGCCACCTTCCGGCCCAGGCTCCCTCGGCCTCAGGGCTCACTGGGATCCAGGAGAGAAGCAAGGCTGTCAGGTGCCAGGCAGCAGTGCAGGAGGGAGGGAGGGGGAGGAGGGGGGAGGAGGAGGAGGAGGGAGGAGGGGAAAGGAAGGAGGGATGGGAGGGAGGGAAGGGAGGAGGAGAGGGAAGGGAGGGAGGAGGAGGGGGAAGGGAAGGGAGGGAGGAGGGAGGGAGGGAGGAGGAGAGGGAAGGGAGGGAGGGAGGAGGAGGGGGAAGGGAAGGGAGGGAGGAGGGAGGGAAGGGAGGAGGAGACGGAAGGGAGGGAGGAGGGGGAAGGGAAGGGAGGGAGGAGGGAGGTAGGGAGGAGGAGAGGGAAGGGAGGGAGGAGGAGGGGGAAGGGAGGGAGGGAGGAGGAGGGGGAAGGGAAGGGAGGGAGGAGGGAGGGAGGGAGGAGGAGGGGGAAGGGAGGGAGGGAGGAGGAGGGGGAAGGGAAGGGAGGGAGGAGGGAGGGAGGGAGGAGGAGAGGGAAGGGAGGGAGGGAGGAGGAGGGGGAAGGGAAGGGAGGGAGGAGGGAGGGAGGGAGGAGGAGGGGGAAGGGAAGGGAGGGAGGAGGGAGGGAGGGAGGAGGAGGGGGAAGGGAGGGAGGGAGACTTCTAAGGGCGGTGGGGGGGGGTGGACTGAGGTCTTTACTAAGCAGCTGTAGTGATGCCGATTGATCCCCCCACCCCCACCCCTGGCCTGGAGTCCAGGACAAATGGTTGTAATTCTCAGCCACCAACTTGCTGCGTGACCTTGAGCAAGTCAGGCCACTTCTCCAGGCCTGTTCCCTGACTCGGGAAACGGAGGACACCTGGTTAACTTTAAAAACAAAAATGTGCGTACAGGGGCGACCACCAGGGACAGCGGGACACATACCCGAGTGCCGGGTTGGCGCCCCAGCTGCTCTGGCTTCCGATCCAGCTTCCCACCAGCGTGCACCCCCGGAGGCAGCAGTGACGGCTCAAGTATTTGGGTCCCTGCCACCCACGTGGGAGACCAGGGTGGAGCTCCTGGCTCTGCCTTTCACCTGGCCCAGTCTTGGCTGTTCTGTGCTGTGGGCATTTGGGGAGTGAACCAACAGATGGGATTTCTCTTGCAAAGACAATGACAATTAAAAACATGGGCTCGGCCCTTACTCTGTGCACTGTCCCGATGCTGTGAGTGACACAAACAGGAGTAAAGGAGCATTTACCCAGAACACCCTGCGACTGCTCCTTTATTAGGCACTGTGCCTATGGAGATGAGGGAGTCACACAGCCGCCTCAGGATCCAGGACAGACCGGGGCGTGGCGCACAGGGCTCAGGGGGAGGGGCCTTCTCTGCTGGGGCCAGCTGGGGGCGCACCAAAGAAGGGAAACCTGAATGGAACCCGAAGTCTTGCACAGCCTCTGCCTGCCCCCGGCCCCCAGGGGACGGACCAGGGGTCTCCACAAAGATCGTGGGAACTGGGAACTCTCGGGCAGGAAATCTGGAAGTATGGATTGCCACGCGTTTCGCAGCAAAGTAAACTTACCTTTCCATTTCATTTCCCATGAGCTTGTCCAAGGACCGACACCGACAGCGAGGCAGGAATGAAGCCGCCCTAAGTCATCCCAGTTCAGACGGGAGAGGAAACCCACGGGACGCAGGGGAGGGGCAGACAGGAACCGCCTCGTGGGCAGCGCCGCTGAGATAAGCCGTGGGAGCTGAGACATTCTAGAGGGTTCTTCACAGTGAAGGCACAGCGTGGAGACTCTCAGTGTGTGGCGGGCACAGCGCACAGAGCTCAGAGTGGGGACCAGCAAGGCCAGAGTCCTCATGACAACCTCGGGGAGTGCCAGGCCCAGGGCCAAGCCCGGGACGCCTCTGTCAGTACTTCACAGCAGATGCGCCTGCTGCTGCCCCCCACCCTTTCAGAGTAGGAAAACAGGGGCCTGGCCTTGGCCTTGTGGCACTGGGGGTGGGGGTGAGGAGAGGTCAAGCTGCTGCTTGCAACCCCGTCTTCGCTCATCAAGTTCCAGCCTCTCTGCTTCGGACCTAGCTCCCCGCTAGTGCTCCTGGGAAGGCAGCGGATGATGGCCCGAGTATCTAGTCCCTGCCACCCACGTGGGAGATCAGGATGGAGTTCCTGGCTCTGACCTTGGCATGGTCCAACCCTGGCTGTTGTGGCCATTTGGGGAGTGATTGGCAAAAGGGAGATCTCTCTCTCTCTCTCTTTCTCTCTCTCCCTGTCACTCTAACGGAGGCTGGAGGAGCTTACAAGGCACAGGGCTGATAGGCAGCTTCAAGAAAGAGCCACTTAAGCCAGGTCTGATGCCCAACCCTGACTTTTTTTTTTTTTTTTTTTGACAGGCAGAGTTAGACAGTGAGAGAGAGAGAGAGAGAGAGAGAGAGAGAAAGGTCTTCCTTCCATTGGTTCACCCCCCAAATGGCTGCTATGGTCGGCACCACGCCGATCTGAAGCCAGGAGCCAGGTGCTTCCTCCTGGTCTCCCATGGGGTGCAGGGCCCAAGCACTTGGGCCATCCTCCACTGCACTCCAGGGCCACAGCAGAGAGCTGGCCTGGAAGAGGAGCAACCGGGACTAGAACCCTGGGTGCCGGCGCCGCAGGCGGAGGATTAACCAAGTGAGCCGCGTGCTGGCCCCAACCCTGACCTCCTTACCACTGGAATGCCCGGTATTTGAGGCGCCTCCCATCTTAGCTATCACCAGCCCCACGTCCCTGTCCTGGCATGCCAGCGCACACACACATATGGGTACTGAAGGCTGAATTTTTTCCTCGGCCACGATCACCTTCTCCAGCACACGGGCGACGGCTGGGGCAAGGCACAGGAGCGCTGCTCAGTTTTGTGGTTTTTTTCTTTTTTGTGTGCTCTGCTGTCTGCTGGTCTCAGTTTATTGTTCCACGCCGGCGTGGGCTGGCTTCTTCCCAGCCTCCTCCTGTCAGACGGGCATATCACGGTGGCCCTGGGCACGTGGCTCTGCCCTGGCTAGGGCGGCTGGCTTCTCTTGTGGGGCTGGAACTTGTACACGGGCTGCAGGCTGTACAGGTACTGCCGGATGCTCATGGACTCCCGCCTCCAGCGCCCCAGCTTCTGGAGCTGTTCCAGCATGAACTTCTTCTTCAGGTGGTCATGCAGGTGGCTCATCTTTTTCTTGGTCTTCTCTGATGCTCTTATCTTAATGACAATAAAAAAAAAAAAATCAGAGGTGAGGTCAGGAGCAAGGAGCCACTTCGAGGTCTCTGGGACTACCGGCATGGGGGTGGACGATGTGTAGGGTGGATGCCAAATTCTTCCAACAATTACCTTCACACACGGGGGCTTCGGCTTCTCCATTTGTAAAGAACAGGCATTAGGCTGGAGAACCCTCACCTCCGGCCAACTGTAGACTAGGAACCTGACTTTGGCCTTGACAACCTCTGTACTTGAAGACGGATCAGAAAGACACAGGGGAGTCTCCTCCCACAATGCATCATGTGCTGCTTCCCACACACCGTGGCATCCCTGTATCACACCGAATTCTACTTATGTCTCCCACAAGGGGGCGTCACAAAGGTCAGGGAGATGCCAACACCGTGGCACCACCATAGGTTAAGCGGCTGCTTAGGACGCCAGCATCCCATACTGGAGCGCTGGTTCAGGCCCTGGCTGCTCCGCTTCCAAGCCAGCTCCCTGCTGCCAGCCTGGACTTGGACCAGTACTGGGACCACTGCCACCACGTGGGAGGCCAGGATGCAGTTCCTGGCTCCTGGCTTTGGTCTAGTGCAGCCCTGGCTGTTGTGGACATTTGGAGTCTCTCTCTCTCTCTCTCTCTCTCTCTCTCTCTCTCTCTGTCCCTCCCTCCCTCCCTCCTGTGTCACTCTGCTTTCAAATAAATAAATGACTTTAAAAAAAAAAAGTTCAGGGGGTCAGTACTGTGACATAGCAGGTAAATCTGCCACCTGCAGTGCTGGCATCCCATATGGGCGCCGGTTCAAGTCCTGGCTGCTCCACTTCTGATCCAGCTCTCTGCTGTGGCCTGGGAAAGCACTAGAAGATGTCCCAAGTCCTTGGGCCCCCTGAACCCATGTGGGAGACCTGGAAGAAGCTCCTGGCTCCTGGCTTTGGATGGGCGCAGCTCCAGCCGTTGCAGCTAATTGGGGAGTGAACCAGCGGATAGAAGACCGCTCTCTCTCTCTCTCTCTCTGCCTCTCTCTGTGTAACTCTTTCAAATAAAAAAATCTTAAAAAAAAAAAAAGTTCATGGAAAATGGAGTTAAAAATATGCTTATTTTGGTGCAAAAGAATGTTGACATCCATGCAGTTTTTTCATAGTATTCACTTTCCACGAATTGTCTCGAAGTGCCATCCTGTCACGTATCCTCTGTCCTACTGACAAGACTGTAAGGTCCGGGAAGGCACAGCTTATCTTACTCATTCTTTGTTTGTTTGTTTGTTTAGTAGAATATTTTGGTTTCAGGCCTGGGATTTTTTTTTTAATTTAAGTTATACAAGTTTCATATATTTCATAGATAGAGATTTAGGAACGTAGTGATACTCCCCCCCCAACTCAGTCATTTATTTATTCCAGTGAGCCGGCTGCAGGAGGGGATACAAATATCAAGGATAGGGGCCGGCACTGTGTCACAGTGGGTAAAGCACACATCCCATATGGACACCCGTTCGTGTCCTGGCTGCTCCGCTTCCAATCCAGCTCCCTGCTAATGATCTGGGGAAAGCAGTGGAAGATGGCCAAGTACTTGGGCCCCTGATACCCACATGGGAGACCTGGAAAAAGCTCCTGGATCCTGACTTCAGCCTGGCTCTGCCCTAGCCCTTGCAGCCATCTGAGGGGTGAATCAGTGAGTGGAAGATATCTCTCTCTCTCTTTCAAATACATAAATAAATAAATTTTTTAGAAAAAATATATCAAGGATAGGCGTCCACAGTAGCTACAATGTGGTCAGGAGGTAAGACACATGTCCAAATATCTCCAGGCCAGGCAGAAAGTGATACCTCCCTGGGATGTGTTATGGCGCAGGTTAAAAGCCGCCACCTGCAACACCAGCATTCAACATGAGCACCATTTCAAGTCCCAGCAGCTCCACTTCCGATCTAGCTCCCTGCTAATGTGCCAGGGAAGGCAGAGAGCCTGGCCCAGCCCTGGCCATTGTGGCCACCTAGGGAGTGAACCAGCAGATGGAAGATCTCTCTCCCTCTCTTTCTATAACTCGGTCTTTCAAATAAATAAAAATAAAAGAGATACACCCCTAGAAGGAAGCACAAAATTCAAAGAAAGGAAACATTAAGAAAAGCTGAATGGAAGAGCTGATACTAAACTGGGGGGAGGTGGATTTTGAAGGATGGGAAGGTTTAGGGCACAGAGAAACAGAGTCTGGTGGGAGGCAGGGTGTTTGTTGCAATAGTTAACAGGCCATCCTGCTCCCCAGTCCCAGTTCCTGCTAACCCACACCCTGGGAGGCAGCAGGTGGCGGCTGGTTGGGTCCCTGCTACTCCTGTTCCAGGCTCCCAGCTGCCAACTGGGCTAGCCCCACCTGCTCTGGGCACTGAGGGAGTGAATGAGAAGCTGGGAGAGACCTCTGTCTGTCTGTCTCTCTTGTCTTTCAAGTAAATAAAATGAATCATTGTTTAACAGACACCATTTGATAGGAGACGATGAAATCTACGGAGTATTCTGATGAGCATTAACATGATGGGAAGACCAACCCAGAGCAAAGCAGCTCTCCCTAAAGGCCAGTCCACCTTGGTGGGATTCATGACCCAGGGGTTGAAGAGGGGGCCTGGGAGACATGGCATTGATAAAGACACATTGTTCCAATCATCCTCTCTAAGTCTGGCTGAGCACAGGAAACATTTAAGTTGCTTGATTGAAAAAAAAAAAAAAAAACAAAAACAAACAAACAAACAAAAAACCAGTCCTCAGGGTTCCAGCTTAGAAGGATTTGGAGGGGGGCCAGGAATCTATATGGCAGTACTTCTAAAAGCTCAAGGGAAAAGAGAATTCAAGGATAAGCTATTTGGGGCAAATTATTTTGAAATCCATGTATTTGGGAGGCCGCTCTTGAACTGTCATGGAAAATACACATTATGCACAAGTGGCCGCTGCCTGAGGTGCCTGCATCCCATATCGAGGTGCCAGTTCAAGCCCTGGCAACCCTGCTTCCAACCCTGCTCCCTGTTAATGCACCTGGGTGGCAGCAGATAGTGGGTCAAGTACTTGAGTTCCTGCCACCCTCACGGGAGAACCAGATGGAGTTCCTGGTCCCGGATTCAGCCTGAACCAGCCCCAGCTGTTGCAGCCATTTGAGACGTGAAGCAGCAAGTGGAAAATCTGTGTATGTGTGTGTGTGTGTGTGTGTGTGAGTGAGTGAGAGAGAGAGAGAGAGAGAGAGAGAGAGAGAGAGAGACTTTGCCTTTCAAATAAATAAATCTTGTGGGTTTCTTTTTTTTTTTTTTTTTTTTTTTTTAAGATTTCTATATTTATTTGAGAGGCAGAGTTACAGCCAGAGGGAGTAAGAGAGAGAGGTCTTCCATCCGCTGGTTCACTCCCCAGATGGCCACAACGGCTGGAGCTGGGCCGATCTGAAGCCAGGAGCCAGGAGCATCTCCCAGGTCTCCCACGCGGGTGCAGGGCCCAAGGACTTGGGCCATCCTCTACTGCTTTCCCAGGCCACAGCAGAGAGCTGGACCGGAAGAGGAGCAGGTGGGACATGAACTGGTGCCCATATGGGATGGGATGCCAGCACCCCAGGCTAAGGCTTAACCTATTACGTCACAGCACCGGTCCCAATAAGCCTTGTTTAGAAAGAAAACTATGAATGGATTGCCAACAATTATCTGTACCAAAATAACCTTTTTCTCACAGAAATTGGAAGTCCGCGCAGAATTCATCACGCACCCGAGACGACTGATGCGGCCAGCCACCAAGGAGCCAGCGCTGCTTTCACCAGCGCCTTCCAGTCCACCCGGGACCGCAGGCCTCCCGGCCTCTCGGCCACTGGTTCCACCGTGAGCGGGACTCCTGGGCAGGGTTTCTCAGCCTTGACGTGAGTGAGATTTAGAGCTGGACAATTCTTTGGGTGGGAGGCAGGGCTGCCCTGCACACTGTAGGAGATTCAGCCACATCCCTGGCCTCCACCTACCACAGGGTGGTAACACCATCCCTCTGGTACCTGTGATAAACAAATATTCTCCAGGCATTGCTGATGGCTCCTAAGGGCCAAGAACACCCTGGCTCGAGAAGCGTGGCGTAGATGAACGAAATCAGCCGTCACTCACTGTTCTCAGAGCCAGGGGCGTCCCAAGGCACCAGATCTCCGCTGTGCCGGCTGGATCCAGTGGCCAAAACCACTATGAATGCTTTCCGGGGACAGAGAAACATTGCCACGCTCCCACCCAAGCCCTAAATCCATGGAGCTCCTACATGCTGGTCTCTCACTAGTCACGGGGTCCACAACGGAGAAGACAGCCCATGCTCTTTTTTTAAATATTTATTTGTTTATTTGAAAGGCAGTTACAGAGAAAGGGCTCTTTCATCCTCTGGGTCACTCCCCAAATGGCCACAAAAGCTAGGGCTGGGCCAGACCAAAGCCGGGAGCCGGGAACTTCTTCTGGGTCTCCCACATGGATGGCAGGGGCCCAAGTGCTGCTTTGCCAGCTGCATCAGCAGGGCGCTGGAATGGAAGTGGAGCAGCTGGGACAGGAGCTGGAGCCCACATGGGGTGCCTGGCATCACAGGTGGTGGCTTACCCTGCTGTGCCACACGCCAGCCCCAGCCCGTTCTTAAGGGAGAACGTCTTACATAATGCCCAGTCAGACCCCTGTGCATAACTCCGCAGTACTCAAGAGGCCACCCGGATGGTCGGTCTGAGCCTGTTTCCTGAATAATTACATGAAGGGTAACGATACCGAGGACATCAAGTACCAAGACACACACAGGCGCAACACAGTTTAATAGAAGCGTCTAGACAGCACAGCTGTCTCGTACAACTCAGGGGTTTGCAGTTACAGGATTTTAGGGATCCTTGTCCCACTGCCAGAGGTGTAACAGTCCCCGCCCACTGCTTGGCTGCAGTACTGGAGCAGGGGATGGGCCCGTGACCCAGCTGGGACCAAGTAGAATCCTCCTCTAGGATTTGTCTCACTTGAGCAACAGCAGAAGTACTCTCTCTTTTCTGGTCTTCAGGCCAGGGGTTCCTATGACCTCACTCCCCAGAGACAACCAGCCCGATGGCGACGGCAATGGTCAGAAAGCAGCAGACAAGGGAGATGAGAGGGAGGGTGAACAACACACCAGTGCAATCAGTGGCCCTGGCTTCGCTTGTCCCCAAACCCGGTGACTGTGCCCCATGCAACCTTGACTATGTAAGTCTAATGTTCTTTATTTTGCTTGAACTAGTTCAGGGTCAGTTTATATCACCTGCAAAAGCATCCTAATAGATTCTACGCCATGTACATGGCACCCCATATCGGAGTCCTGGCTGCTCGGCTTCCAATCCAGCTGCCTGCTAATGCACCCGGGAAAGAGTACAAGTAGAAGGCTTGGGCCCCTGCTGTCCACCTGGGAGACACAAATGGAATCTCTGGCTCCTGGATTCTGCCTGGCTCCAACCCAGCTGCTGCAGCCAATTGGGGAGTGAACTGTGGGATGGAAAATCTGTCTGTCACTCTGCCTTTCAAATACATGAATCTTTTTTGGGGGAAAAAATAGATCCTACTTCACAGATGAGAAAGCAGCGTTCTGGGGGAAGTGTAACTTGCCCAAGGTCACACAAGGCTGACCTCCCCTTCTCCAAGTTCACCCTATTTCCACTGCACCACATCACTGGATCTTTGGCAGGGGGCGGGAACGCTGAGCCCTCAATTGGATATGTTGCCACTACTAAGGGTTCTCCACCCTTCTCCATGCCAGAATCCCATGGGCCCACCCAGACTTGACACTGAAACACAGGCAGGAAGAGGGCAGCATGGGCCAGCATAGTGGCACAGAGGGTTAAGCTGCCGCCTGTGATGCCGTTATCCCAGATGGGCATGGGTTTGTCTCTCAGCTTCTCTACTTCCAATCCAGTGAGCCTGGGAAAGCAATGGAAGATGGCCCAAGTCACCAGTTTTGAGTCTCGGCTCCACTTCCAATCCAGCTCCTTGCTAACGTGCCTGGGAAAGTGGCAGAAGATGCCCCAAGTGCTTGGGCCCCTGCACCCATGTAGGAGACCTAGATAAAGGCCTTGGCTCCTAGCTTTGTACCTGCCCAGCTCCAGCCATTGCAGCCATTTGGGGAGTGAACCAGCAGATGAAAGATCTCTGTCTCTCCCTCTCTCTGTAACTCTGACTTTCAAATAAATAAATCTTAAAAGAAAAAAAAAAAAAAAAAGGAAAGAAAAATGGTTCAAGTGCTTGGGACCCTGCCACCCATGCCATCCAAGACACAGATGAAGCTCCTGGCTTTGGCCTGGCCCAGCCCTGGCTGTTGCAACCATTCAGGGAGTGAATCAACAGATGGAAGATCTCTCTCTGTCTCTGTCTCTCTCTCTTTCTAATAAATTAACAAAAAACGTAAGGGGAGGAGGAGGAGGAGGATCAATGCCAGGCTGCTTCCCTGTGTGCAGGCGCGAGTCCATTCCTGCGTGCATCCTGCTCACCTGCCGCACCTGCCCCACGCAGGCCCTCGTGACTCAGTCATGGAGCCCGCCATCAGGGTCTATGGGCCCCACTGGAGCGAAAGCACTTGGGCTTAAGGAAGCAGCTCCAGTACTACTTGTCCAGAAGCACAGAGAGGCAGACGCGCCTTTGCTCTCATCTCGTTTGCAAAGTGGGGATAACCCAGAAAGGAAAAACCACCTGAGCAGACAGTGCTGATGCCAATCCAAGCTGTAAGACCCAAGGCCCTGAACAGCAGAGAGTAACAACCTGTTCAGGGATTCCCCAAACAGAGAGATACTGTGCTTTGTTGGGGGCGGGGAGATACTACAGGACCTAAGAGACATGAAGTCTTTCTCCCTGGAATAAGGGCGACACCCCAGGCCAAGTCAGCAACCTCGGGTACTAATAGGTCCCCTCTACAAAACGGGGCCTGCCTAGGGTGCTTGCATGGGTCCCCATCATCTGTGGGATCTGTGATCTTCCCAGCTCCAGGACACGGGGAAAGCGCGATGAATGTGGGCAGAACATCGGTAAAGCGTGCGGCTGCTTTACCTCCACCTCACAGATGCGCTGGGCACTCAGGTTGTCACGGATGATCACTCGGGACAAGTGGTTCTTGGGTAAGAAACGTTTCACGGCTGCCTCGCTGGAATTCGTGACGCTGTTGGGAGGGGCAGGGGGAGATGATACAGGTTAGAGGAGACCACGGCTGGACCCAGGGCAGGGCCAGCGCCTGGTGGGACAGTGCCCTAGCGGGGGTACCCAGCATGGTTCGGTCAGTTTTCACAGGAGTAGCTCATTAGCTGTCTCCATTCAGAGGGGCTACTGGGGGGGGGGGGGGGGTTTCTTGGATGCCAAGAACGAAAAAAGCGGCTCTTAAGGGGTTGAGGGCCCATCCCAGAGGCTGCCCGTGCCACACGAGGTCAAATCCAAGGGGACTGAAGGGTCAGGGCCAGTTCAGAAGAAAGGTGAAGTCAGCCAAAGGAACATAAATTGTCAGAATCCAGAGTTGGTTGCGTCAACCCTCACCACCTTTTACAGAAAGAACTGTGGAAGGGCCGTTGGCCCAGCATCTGTCTGTCCAGCCTAGGGCTAACACGGCCCAAGGTCAAGGTTTCAAACCCCCTGACGTCACCCTCTTCCCCTCTGTTCTCCCCAGGACGCGCCCAAGGATGGACTGCGCATGCGTAGTGGCGCTAGTCCCACAATGAGTGTCATTGTTCTCCAAGAATCGCTCTCTGGTCGGGGGGCAGGGAAGGGGGCTTGAGGGGGTGTGGAGACGGGGGAGCTGGGCAGTAGCGGCGCCCTCCCTCGGGGTCTAAGAAACGACCGCGCCGTGAGGCACGCGGGGGTCTGAGAGCCGCGCCCGGCCCAGGGCCGCACCTGACGAGCACCAGAGGCTGCGGGGCCCGCGGCGGCAGGAAGTACAGCTGCGGGTGGACCCCGAGCACCAGCTCCGCGCGGCTGCCGAACCTGTCGCGTCGCAACTCGGGGCCCCGGGGGGTGCTGGGGCCGGGGGTCGCCTGCGCGGCGGCCTCACAGTCCTCGGACGGGGCCAGGTCCCATGTGACCCTAACCGGCTGTGTCGCGGGGTCTTTCGCGACGGAGGGCAACTCGGCAATGGGAGTCAAGCTGGAACTCATGGTCCGAGAGGGAAGGCGGACCCGGTGTGAGAGAGACCCGCCTCCCTCCACCCGGGCCCGCGCCGCGAGCCGAGCGCCGCGCGTTACCCAGGGCGACGCGCGCGAAGGGGCGGGGCCCGAGCGCGGAGCCCCGCCCCCGGAAGCCGCCGACGCGGCAAGATTGTCCCTCGGCGGCCGCCGTGGTGCGACTCGGCGCGTTGCCGTGGAGACCGACTGGGCGGGATGGAGTGGGCTGCGGTGAGCTGATTCGACGCGGCCTCGCCACCGGGACTGCAGCCGCCCCGGCGCGGTCGCGGGGCGGGTAACCCTGGTGAGCCGTGGGACCGAGGCCGGGATTTCGCCAAAGGCCCAGCATAACGTGGGACCATCGCTATGGAAACCGGGGCGCTGTACCGGCGGGGACTGTGGCTCCGGGACCGTGACTGCTCCGCGGCCTCCCCCCAGAGACCCTCGCCCGAGACTCGGCGCCGCGGCCGCTTCCCCAACGAACCCGCCAGCCCTCCTGCGGCCGAGAGGTAAGACGGTCCGTGGGGTCCTGACGCTGAGCTGGCGAGGACGCCCACCCACCTGCCCCCGAGGTACACCCACCTGGGCCAGCTTCGGGTCGCTTCGGGTCGCTTCGGGCCTCGAACCACGGCCGACGGGCGCCTGCGACTTCCCAAACTTACAAACGGGTGAAGCCGAGCTGCTCCCAAATTGCCTTTTTTTTTTTTTTTTTCCCCTAACTCCCTGCCCCTTGGGCTAAACATGTTCAGACGCCCGGGCCCTTTCTGCACGCCACCCCTGGCCCCCAGCCTGGAACTTTTCATTTCTGCCCAAGGCCTTGCTGGCCCCGAGAGCTGTGATCTAAAAGCCACCTAAAAGCGAACGCGCGGTTTTTGCGGCTTTGCTGGCCTGCGTGGGCAAGGGACGGCCCAGATGGGGGTGCATGGCGGCAGATGGCGGGGTGCTGAGGCCCCGCTGCCTCTCTGCCCTTGATCCTGGGGTTGCTGTGGCCTGCCCGGAGGCTTGCGGCCACTCCCTTCCCCAGGCGCAGAAATGTGAGCAAGCATGGAGGACCGTGCTGTTTGACATCAGGTCCACATGGCCGGCTTCCGGAAGTGAGAGGCTGCCACCCGCCCTGCTCTTACCCGGCCCTCTCCAGCCACTCCCAGGACAGGGGTCTCAGGCCCCACGTCCTGGGTCAGGGTCTGTGACATGGGGCAGGAAGTCAGAGGACCCTGGACCGGAGCCCATGCAAAGTGGTTTCCGCTTAGAGGGACTGGAAGGCAAGAGAGAGTTTTGAAGGGAGGAGACTCAGGCCCGTTCCAGTAGGGATGGGGGGCGGGGGGCTTTGTGCTGAAGGGCAGTGCCCATTGGACCACCTGCGGAGGGTGCTGCAAATGCGGAGCCCGTGGGTTTGGGGGAGGCCTGGGTGTCTGTATTTCTCCTGAGTTCCCCCCACCTGGGGGGATTGAGCTGTGATGCTCAGAAGGCCGCCTAGGGGACGCGCAGACCCCTCCCCGGGACCCCGCGGGCCGGGCCGCCGGCCTCCCCGCTTGCTCAGTGCCCACTCCGGCCCCGCAGTTTCCCAAGCAGCCAGATGCAGGCCTCCCGCCTCAGCGCCTTCTGAGCCCCCGCCTTGATGAGCGCAGCCTCGTGTGCCTTCCCGGTCCAGTTCCGGCAGCCGTCGGTCAGCGGCCTCTCGCAGATCACCCGGAGCCTGTACCTCAGCAACGGCTCGGCCGCCAACAACAAGCTGCTGCTGGCCAGCAACCAGATCACCTCGGTCGTCAACGTGTCCGTGGAGGTCACCAACACGGTCTACGAGCACATCGAGTACATGCACGTGCCCGTGGCCGACGCCCCCAGCTCGCTGCTCTACAGCTTCTTCGACCCCATCGCCGACCACATCCACGGCGTGGAGCTGAAGCAGGGCCGCACGCTGCTGCACTGCGCCGCGGGCGTGAGCCGCTCGGCCGCCCTGTGCCTCGCCTACCTCATGAAGTACCACGCCATGTCCTTGCTGGACGCCCACGCCTGGACCAAGGCCTGCCGGCCCATCATCCGGCCCAACGTGGGCTTCTGGGAGCAGCTGGTCCACTACGAGTTCCAGCTGTTCGGGAAGAACAGCGTGCGCATGCTCAGCTCCCCGGTGGGGCCGATCCCCGACATCTACGAGAAGGAGGTGCGCTTCATGATCCCGCTGTGAGCCCCGCGGCGGCCGGCCAGGCCAAGGCCGAACTCTACCTTCCGTGGGCGCCTTTCTGTGCGACCAAGAAGAGGAACAAGAAGTGAGGACTGTAGCTTTTAACCTTGTAACCCCGAGTCCAGAGAGGCAGCTCACCCTTAGGAAGCAGTGAAGGGTGGCGGGAGGCAGCCGGTACCCTGGACAGAGAGACCCAGTGCCCAGGGCAGGTGGCGGCCCTCCCGCGGGGCGACCGGCCGGGACCGAGTCTGCCACAGTCGCACCTGGTTTGTTGCCAACGCACAGCCAAAGCCTTAAGCGTCGCGGCACCGGCTGCGCCTGCCAACCTGCCGGAGAAGCGAGCTTTGGGGGTGCTCGGGAGCCTTGGCTGGGGGAGCCCCTGGCCCCTGCCTTCCATCCCGCTGCCATGGCCTCACTCTGGTTTTCTAGATCACACTTACGCATAAGGTAGTTTTCAGAGAAAGCGTCCCACTGAATAAAATTTCAACCAAAAACGCCCAAGATTCCTTTTGAGTGCTTCTGTGCGTGGGAAAGGTGCCGGGGAGCCCTCGGTGCCCCTTGGTCCCGGGCTCTCGAGGAGGGCGGGCCTGCCTCCAGCCCTCGGCCCGGGAGACCTGGGAACCCGGCCCCATCACACGTCAGCATCCACGCGGTGACAGCCCGTGCCCGTTCCTCAGAGTCGGGAGACCTGGCGGTTCCCATGGCACTGCGCCCGGCACACGTGGTGCGTGCTCACTTAGCATCAATGGCGGATCCCAGCATGGGTGCTCTGCTTTTTTATTTTTTTCGCCTGCAGCTTGGCTGGTCCCAGGTCAGTAGAGCCCTCCTAAGGGCATTTCCTGCCTGTGGTCTGTGCGGGTGGGGGCCTCGTTGTTTACAAAGTGCTTCTCCCCCCAAAAAAACAAGTCTCCTAGGTGGGAAAAAAAATGGTTTCAGTCCTTTTGGGCCTGCCCTCAGAGGAAGCCTCGACTTAGGAGCCTTCTCAGAGCCCCCACTGTGTGACCCAGAGCCCCAGCCCCCCTCCACACCCCACAGCCCCAAAGGCCTGCTTAGAGTCCCTGGCAGAGCCAGCTCCCAGGAATCCCTGAGGCGGGGACGTGTGCCCTGGCGTCCAGGACTGTCCAAAGCCCCTCCATGCCCGAGGCCCTGGCTCAAGACCAGCGGTTCTACTCCAGAGGTTTTCGGGCAAGCAAAAGCACAATCGCTCCACTGGACACAGGGCCCAGTGGAGGCCAAATGCCCTTTCTCTCGCTCCAAACCTCCCTGCATCCCCGATTTCCCAAAGGAAGTGCCAGGGCTGCCCTCTCTGGGAGCCAGAGGAAAGGAGACACATCCCTGTTCTAGAAGATTCTCTCTTTCTACACAGGCCCATGGAACACCAGAGCAGAGCCCCCGCAGACCAGCGTTTCTGGCAACAACCCAGATGGGAACATCTTCAAAGGCTTTTGTTCAGTATACTTTTCTTCCATTCCATTTTTTTTTTTAATACTAATTTTAATGGCATCAAGTTAACTCTGTGGGATGTACAGTTCTGTGGGTCCTATGGATCCGTGTGTGCACCGCTGTCGGGACCCAGGACATCGTCCCCCAAGCCCCCTCCTATTTTCCCTTCCTGGTCAAACTCTATCCCGATAGGGCATCTGCTCTCTGCATTTCCAGTCGCCTTTTCCGGGAGGTCACAGAATCACACCAGCGGGACCAGGAGGTGGCCTTGACACTCAGGCCGTTGCTTTCCATGGCTGAGAGCTGACTGCTTCACTGGACGGATGCAGCAGTTTGTTTCACGCTAAGCACTGCAAGGATGGACTTCAGTTGCTTCCGGTTTCTTACCAAGCGCGAACGAAGTTGCTGTAGACATCTGTGTGTATATAGGTTTTTGGGTGGAGGCAGGTTCTCCCTCCCCTAAGGGGTATTCCTCAGTGGGAAGCGGAGTCACAGGCGAACGGCCGTCTGATGTTTCCAGGAGCCAGCCAGACTTCTGGAGCGGCCGTTCGACGTGTGGTTTCTCTGTCTTTGCCAGGACTTGGTCCCACCAACGTTCTTCACGTGAGCCATTCCAGTGGGTGTGTGGATCTCACTTTGCTCGTGGTTCATGATGTTGACCGCCTCTGTGTGCCTAATTTCCTTCCGTCTCTCCCCTTTGAGGAAGCACCTGTTCCGGTCTATCCAGTGGCTTCTTTTCCCACTGTTGAATTTTGAGAAACTGCATCTATCCTAGAAATAAGTCTTTTGTCAGATCTGCAGTTTTGCACGTGTGTTCACCCAGTCCGAAGCTGGATTTTTTTTTTTTCATTCTCTTAAAACTATCTTTTGCGGGTCAAAAAAAAAAAAAAAAAAAAATTGGCACAAGATAATTGTGTGTACTTCCAGGGACGGTGTGACGGTTCAGTGCCTGTGTGCCGTGTGAAATCAGATCAGGGTAGCTGGCGTATTTCTTTACGCTGGAGACAGCTATTTTGAATTGTTCAATTAATTGCTGTCACCAGAGTTGTCCTACTGTGCCATGGAGCACGAGCAGTTATTCCTGCTGTCGCACTGCACCCCTGTGCCCTCAGCCATCCCCTCTCCGCCTCTCCTTGGTCCCAGGCCCTCGCAGCCCCCACAGGTGCTGTCTGCCTTCCTGGGCCTGACTTATCTAGCCTCACAGGAGGTCCTCCATTTGCATCCACGCTGCGGCGAAGGGCAGAACAGCATTCGTGTTTGGCTGACGGTGTTTGGCTGACTCTCCCCCCGTGTATCTGGGCCGCACCGTCTTTATCCACGGATCTCTTGCGGGGCGCCAAGGCGGACTCCGTAGCTTGGGCCTTGTGAGTCATGCCACAATAAACCTGCAGGTGTGGACGCCTCTCCCACCTGCTGCGTTCAGTTCCTTTGCGAATCTACCCAGTAGGAGGATAGCTGGATCTATGGTAGTTCACAGCGTCCACACTGTCTTCCCTGGAAGTCTTTACTCCATTTTGAGTTGGTTTGTGTATGTGATCATCGAAAAGGGGCTAGTTTCTTCTGCATAGGGATACCCATTTATTGAAGCAATTTCATTCTCCAGTGTATGATCCTGTTCCCTTTATCGCAGATCAGTGGGCTACACATGCAAAGCGTTATTCTGTGTTCTCAGTTCTGTTGCGCTGGTCTGTGTGTCTGTCTGTGCCAGTGCCAAGCTGTTTCAGTTAACTATCATTTTGTGTTATTATTTTTTCTCTCTCATTTCCCTGACTGTTGAGTGGCCCGTTCACAGTGGGGCTAGGGCAGACACATGATGGGGTCTGGTCTGTCCCCCAGCCCTGGGGGCACCACGTACCATGCCCTCTGGACAGGAACAGGGTGCAGGGGAACCCAACAGAAGCCTAGGCCTGGGTCTCCCTAGCCCAGGCCAAAGTGGGAGGGTCTGACACTGGGTGAGGTTGGTAGGTAGAGGTGAGGGATACAAAATGCCCCAGAGCCAGGCCAGTGCTGTGGTGTAGTGGGTAAAGCCGCCGCCTGCAGTGGCAGCATCCCATATGGGCACTGGTTCGAGTCCCAGCTGCTCCACTTCCGATCCAGCTCTCTGCTATGGCCTGGGAAAGCAGCAGAAGATGGTCCATGTCCTGGGGCCCCTGCACCCACACGGGAGACCCAGACTTTGGATCAGCCCAGCTCCAGCCATTGCGGCCATTTGGGCAGTGAACCAGCAGATGGAAGACCTCTCTCTCTCTCTCTCTGCCTCTCTGTAACTCTGACTTTCGAATAAATAAATAAATCTTTAAGGAAAACATGCTGCAGAGGGGCCAAGTGGCCAAGAATTCGCGCAGAGCACAGGCCCACAGGGCAGCCACAGTGGCCAGGGGACAGTGTGTTTCAGAGGGGGGATTAGAATGTATCCGGCCTTGTTGTTTTGGCTCAGGACTGCTTTGGACATGGCGGCCCCATACACAATTTTTGGAATTCTGTTTTCTCCTGTGACTAATGGCACTGAGATTTCAACAGGAACTGCATCGACTCTGCAGATCCCCTTGTGTGATGGACGCTTTACCATCTTGCATCTTCCAACCCACGAACATGGGCTGTCTTTCCATATTGTTCTCTCACTAATTTCCTTCAGCAGTGTGTTGTAATTTTCATTACAGAGGTAGCAACCATTTTGAATTTCGTGAATTTTTCTTTTGTGGGTTATTCTTTCTGCTGTCATGTCTAAGACCTCCCGGCCTTAGCTGCAGATCACAAAGATTTTCTGTAATGTTCTGAAGTTTTAGATTTTGGGAGGAGGCATTTATTCGGCCTGGTGGTTAAGATACTGATAAGACACCTATGTCCCACACCGGAGTGCCTGCCTGGGTTCGATTCCTGGCTCTGGCTCCCAGCTCCCAAGTCCAGGTTCCCACTGATGCAGACCCTGGGAGGCAGTAGGTGATGGTTGAGTCCCTGCCCTGTGATGAGAGACTTGGCTTGAGTGCCAGTCCTGCACATTACGGACACTTGGAAAATAACTAAACCAGCAGATGGGAGCTCTCTGTCTTTCAATTAATTTTTTTTTTTTAAACAGTTAGAGAGAGAGAGGGAGAGACAGAAGGGACAGAGAGATCGTCTATCCATTGGGTCACTCCCCAGATGGCTGCAACATCCAGCGCTGGGCCAGGCCAAAACCGGGAGCTTCATCCGGATCTCCCACGAGGGTGGCAGGAGCCCAGATACTGGGACCATCTTCTGCTTTCCCAGGCACGTTATCAGGGAGCCGGATCGGAAGCGGAAGCAGCCAGGACACAAGCCAGCACCCACGTGGACGTTGGCACTTCAGGCGACAGCTTTCCCTGCTGCACCACAATGCCGGCCCCTCACGTTGTTACTGATTAAAGCTTTAGATGTTCTGTTTATTTCCCCGATTCTTTTGTATAAGATCTGAGGCTTTCGTGTTGTCACATGGGTGTCCAGCGATTACAGCTCCACTTACTGAAAACTCTGCTGTCTCCCCAGTTTTGCCTTTGACCCTCTTTGGACTTTCGCTCCATATGGTGTGTGTTTCTCTCCTGTCACCAGTGTTGCACTGTCTTGAGGACTGCAGCTTTGCAGTAAGTCTTAAAATAAGGTATTGTTGGGCTGGCGCCATGGCTCACTTGGCTAATCCTCCACCTGTGGCGCCAGCACCCCAGGTTCTAGTCCTGGTTAGAGCGCCGGATTCTGTCCCGGTTGCTCCTCTTCCAGTCCAGCTCTCTGCTGTGGCCGGGGAAGGCAGTGGAGGATGGTCCAAGTGCTTGGGCCCTGCACCCGCATGGGAGACCAGGAGGAGCACCTGGCTCCTGGCTTTGGGTTGGCGCAACACCAGCTATGGCAGCCATTAGGGAGTGAACCAGCGGAAGGAAGACCTTTCTCTCTGTCTCTCTCTCACTGTCTATAACTCTACCTGTCAAATAAATTAAAAAAAATAAATAAATAAGGTAGTGTTTTTCCTCCAAGTGTACTTGAAGACTGGGTTATTCTGATTTCCTTGCCGACCATCTACATTTTAGAACCAACCTGTCCTCAATAGC